TCAAGAAGACCAAAATCTATATTCCGATCAGTAAGAGGGTTGTAAGTAATTTACTTCCTAAACTCTCTTCAAGTGTTTGTTGAGGTTAACCTCCAAGAACATCTATTTATTTGTTTTTAATCATGATTTTGTTTTTTTTTTACGAACCGCTGTAGTAGGGACATTACAATAACTTTATTAGTTATTTAAATTTATTATGTAAGAAATAAAAATCCTAACTATATCATTTATTTCCGTAATTAAAATATAAATTCGTTTCATTTTAATTTTCAGACATTTACATTTAATCTTTTAAAATAATAGTGATAAGAATATTATTAGGTCAACTATATACCCATAATAAAAAAAATAATTTTCTCTGCCCCAACCCACCTAATTAAAGATTTTAATCACTTCCACATAAAAGAAATCAAATAAATTAGTTGATAATTAAGTAATTATAATATATATTATTATTTCGACGTACTTAATTAAATATTCCAAATATATTTCTAGTTAAGTTGCTGACAACATTAAAAGGACTATGAGTGGATTATCGATTTATAAATTGAAGTGAAAAAACAAGTTGACATTGTTTCTAGCTGGCCCTCTTCATGGCGTATGAATGAGATGGTATTGCAAATATTGAACATTGATCTAAATTTAAACCCTAGTAAATCATTCGAATTTTTTACATATATATATAATATTTGTGGGTGTGTGAATGAAGAAAATGAAATGGGCTGCAAAAGTTAATTAAAAAATGTTAGTGAATTGTTTATTTTTAACATGACATAGTAATCAAGATTGGTCTTATATTATCAAAACAGGTAAAAGAGAGCTGTCTAAGAAAATGTCAAAAGTAGACTGCTTCTAATGTTATATATAATTATTTGAATGTATGTATGTATGTATGCATGCTAAACTCCAGCCTGTTTGATGGTAATTGTTGATTTGTTCCTTTGCAAAATTCAAAACTTTGGGAAATGGCAATTGCAGCCAAATGGTGACTTATCAGATTTTCCATAATATATTAGCTTCTGAATTTCTGTTTTACTTTTGCTTTCTTCTATTTGATTACGTTCGCCATACATGAGACCTCGTCATCCATAAATCTAAAATCATATATCATTCACTTACCAATTTTTGGGTTGTGTGAAAGGAGAGGAAAAAAAAAAATATGAGAACTTTTGAAGGTATTGAAGCTAATATTGTAAACATTAGGAATAAATGGTTTCATGCCTTTTAAACTTATTTAATTACCCCATGATGTACATAATTAGAAAGACATTTAATTAGTTATGAACTACCTAATAGATATGTAATTGTTTTGTATAAATATAGTACTTCCTTATTTCTCACTTTTATTTTTGAAAAATATTATCTCTAATACTATGATTTAATAATGAAAATAAGTAAATTTTATTTAACAATTTTAAAATTAATTTATGTTGAGAACGTTAAATTTATTATTATTATTTTATATTTATATAGTAATCGATTTATAATATTTAATTTAATAAAATTTATAATTTATTTTATTAATAATAATTAAAAAAAAAACAAAAATATTAAAAGACTAAAGTAATAATTATGGTTTGAAAATACCATTACCTCAAGCTCGTCAACTCTCGAGAGGTTACTATCTTCTTTCTTTCTTAAATTTGATTTTGACAGCATGAGATTAAAATTAAAAAAATAATAATAATCTCAAAACAACAAATTATACATGTTATAACTCCTGACTCCATATACAAACTTCAAACTCTGTAAATTTCATAATCGAATGACTTACTGCCCTTAAAGCCACCCTATCATCTGATTGTACAAGCTCCATTCTCCATTTAACGCGACTGCTTCCGGGTCAAGCTTACAAAATGCACGTTTGTATCCATCTTCAAAACCGATGTACAACTACTCTTGGTCTATATGCAAATATGGCAGAATGGAGCATGACCAAAGCCCAAATCCAACAATTATAGCAACCGAGTTTCCGAAATGCTGGGCAAAAAGAAAATCATAAGAGCCATTTCATGTGAATCTTTTAACTCCATTTCAATTTTTCTTTCCCCAAAAAATCTTAACTAGATGCTGAACAACTCCAACTTCTGGAATTCTTAGGGCAGGGTCATTACATCAAACAAATCAAACTGTAGTCTTGGACCACGACATCAGAACATCCATATAAGTCATAAGCCTAAGCTGCACAGAAGCTTGTTTATATAGACCCATTAATCTCATTACTGAAAATCGAGAATTTTCCAATGTCAGTTCAAATAAAATCAAAGTCCCAGGTAGGAATATGAATATACCAACATCATTCCTGTTGTTTTTCTTAAGATTATCAGACTACCTCCTCTTTTGTACACTACTGCACAAGATTAGAGGGCTGTTAGCAATTTCAGCAATCTATATACAAGTATCCAAGATTATGATTATACTCAGTTAGCCATCTGGCTTTTCGTTTATCTGACCATTCTTTCCTTCGCAACATCACCAATGCAAACAGTTAAAGCAGCAGCTTGGCCGGGCAATCTTGGGACATTTGGGGCATTTTGGCTTCCAACAGCATCTTATGCAGCTCGGTCTCCAACATCCTGGGCATTTGGGCTGACAATGGCATTTTGTGCAGCTAGGTTTCCAACAACAGCTTGAGAATTTAGGTCTCCAGATTTTGATCCTACAGCACCTTTTAGCACTTGCAGAAGTAGCATCTACTCTCTGATGCAGACCAAGACTTTGTCGAATCTTTTTAAGGCGGATTTCTGTGGTTATGTTCTCCATTTCTTGAATAAACCGGTAGAGATGGCGTATGTAATCAGGGTAAAGCTCAAGATTGCAGTGGCCCCCTCCTTTAATCCACAATGGTTCATAGGGCTCCCTTGCCATTTTCCACAGTCCATTACCATGTAACCAGTTCACAACATCATCCTCTGTACCCTGCAAAATATTTCATCCAAACCCATTTCAGCATTTTCTACAAATTAACATTCCAGATAAAATTGACCAGAGAATTGCAAAATTAGAAACATGATCCAGTTAAAACATGGAATGAGTAAATCATGGAGAAAATTTAGAAATATGAAAGGAACTTCCATCAAAGCAAATCACAATCCTCCGCAGGATTACAGTGATTCCAGGTGGCCAGAATCTGCTGTACACCAAAAGAACTTTCACATAAACATGTTGTTCGATGGACGTGGAATACTGTCGCAGGACCATTGATCACGCTCCCTAGTCATAATATGCTAGCTCTAGCCAAGAAAATGCATTTGTGATCTAACCAAAGAATTTAACATTATTAATCATGAAACCTGTGTGGAAAAAATGAAATGAATATTTCTAGCATCATGAACTTGTCATGAGCTACCGGCAGGGGAGAGGGGGAGGGAGATTAGGAAAACAGCAGAAATGTGGGTTGATTAAAGTTTACTTCCAACAAAAATCTTTGTTAAGGAGTAAAAATTTCTAGCCACCTAATTACATGTATATGCAGCTGTTGTTTACTAATTGAGGCTGTTATTTCTTTATTGCAGAAGTCTAGGAGTTACTTACGCATGCATATAACAAAGGAAGAGAAACTCAAGCATGTTCAAGAAATTATCCGCACAAACAATAGAGAACAATCAGCAATCGAATTCCTAGGTTATCTTAATTTCTCTTTCTTCTTTCTTTCTGTCTCTTCATTCTATTACTACTTCTATATTTCTGAAATCTCTCTTTTCTGCATTATCTCTTCCCTATGGTACCAGTCGTAAGTATCACAGGGACCTGACAGAACCATTATGTAATTTTATAGGCATTTACTTTCAATGGTACCAAATGGAATGTATGAATAAAGACATGCACTAAATCTGCTTTTTTGCTGTAGCGGATTGTCAGGATTCTTCAAGGCCTCCAGGGGACAGAGATAGGGAGACCATTTATCCCCAATCTTTTTCAAAAAAAAAATTATAGTGACTTAGGCGCTCAATAAATTGATCAAAAAGGCTAGAGAGACACAACTCTTCGAGGGTCTGAAGTTAGCAGATAACGACAATATGGAAGAGAGAACCTATTTATTTTTTGCATATGACGACTTATTGCTGTGTGTTGGGATTTTTTCAAGGTGAAGAAAATCTAAACTTCCATTGATTTCACTCACTCCAAAATTAACAACTTAAAATGTTTTTAAATACACTTACACCAAATTCAAATTTTTTTAAAATGATTTACCACTATTTAAAAGATAAATATAAATCAAATCTTATAAAAGATAAACTTCTACTAACAACATAATTTTTTAAAAAATAAACATTTTCTAAATATAACTAAAGATAAATCCTATTTAAATTCAAACTAATAAATAAAATAATTTATAATTTTTATATTGGTCTTCAATATTCTCTATTAAATTAGAAATTATAATCACTAAATTTATTTTACTGAAACACTTCTCTCTAATATTTCTTGTTTGATTTTTATATTTTTGAAGTACTTCTCTTTAATTGTTGATACGCTTCTCGCCAAACTCCGATTATTGATGCATTTCTCATCAATTTTCAATTATTTGATGCACTTCTCATCAAAATCTCTTGGAGTACTTCTCTCCAATTTTCAAAAAAGGTTCTTCTTCTTAAGCAAAATTTGTTTGCTCATTCTTCAATATGCAATTTTTTTTTATATATACGCTTAAATCTTTTACAATAAAAATATTATAATTTACTTTTGTGCTAACAATCTTTTTCATCATATGATTGTTTTTTCTGCATACTCTGCATGGTGAAAATTTTTCTTTTTTGATGTTGATGAAGACTTATTTGACATCTTTGCAATGAAGACTCCTTCCATGGTTTTTTTCTTCTTCTTTTCCTCATTGCTCTTCTCTCTATATTATTTTTTCACATACGCATAACCAATAAAGACTCTGATACCACTTGTTGAGATTTTTTCAATGTGAAGAAAATCTAAACTTCCATTGATTTCACTTACTCCAAAATTAATAACTTAAAGTGCATTTAAATAGATTTACATTAAATTCAGATTTCTTAAAAATAATCTACCACTATCCAATAGATAAATATAAATTAAATCTCCTAAAAAATAAACTTTCACTAATAACATAATTTTTAAAAAATAAACATCTTTTAAATCTAATCAAAGATAAATCATATTTCAATTCAAACTAATAAATAAAATAATTTATAATTTCTACATTAATCTTCAACACTCTGCATGACTAAACCTCCGTTTTTATTGAACATCATATATGTGCTCTTATGTTATCAAGCAGTTTCTAGGCTAAAAAGCAATTTGTCCACGTTTGAACTGATCCCAGTTGGAAAAACCAACTTGTCCAAGTCTTAATTGTATCAGTTGGATATAGGACAAACTCGGCTATCTTGGTTGAAATTCTGGATTGTAGAGTAGCAGAACTACCAACAAAGTATCTAGGCTTACCCCTTGGAGATAAATTTAAAGGCACTATCATTCGAGACCCGATTGTCGGTAGATTTGAGACCACACTAGCAGGATGAAAAAGGAACTTTTTGCCAACAAGAGATAGACTGACACTCATCAAAAGAACACTAATCAATTTCTCAATCTATTATTTGTCAATAAAAATTCTACTGAGCATGACAAAAAAACTAGAGGCTATCCAATACATATTCCTGTAGGCGATTTAGAGGAAAAGAGTTTCTGTTTAGCAGCATGGGAAGCAGTCAAAGGATCCAATTCATACAAGAGGGTTAGGCATCATCTCTAGTTGAATTCAAGAAAGCATTATAGGCAAAATGGTCATGGTAATTCATAAGAGAAAGGGACAGTTGTAGTGAAGAGTGAGAAGCCAAGTTTGGCATGGACAATAAAGGTTAGTATCTAAGAAACTCAAGACATCCACAGGGGATGATTATGGAGAGAATCAACATTGGAAAAGGGGAGTTCCAGAAATGCATTCCTTGGGGGGTTGGATCAGGCCAAAAGATGTAAGGTTGAATGAATGGCTGAAGGGAGGAACACTGGAGCAACAGTTTTCTATAATCTTTTATCTGGCCTGCAACAAAGAGGCAACAGTGACATTCTTATTTTATGTCTTTGGATAATGGAGCATGAGCAGTGGACTGATAAGGAATCTCAAGATAAATAAGGATGTAAACCTAATTCAACATTTGTCATCACATGGGAAACTGTCTGCAGCATTGGATTAGTCACCATGTAAAATCAGTTCAAGCAGGCCTCTTCGCTAAAAGTCATACCAAGCCCATTTGAGAAAGAATTAAAGAAATGTCAAAGATTTCTCATGAAACCAATTTGGAAGAGTAAGGCATCACCTAGAGTGGCATTTTTTTGCTTGAAAAAGCAGCAAAGGGTTATATTTAACTCAAGATAATCTCATTAAAAGGGGGAAGGAAGTTGTGGAATGATGCTTATGTGCAAGGGAATAGCAGAGACTGTCAAGCACCTTTTCCCCTGGTGTTACATGTCCTACCAATTTCGGTGCTTCACTTATGGCTTGTTGGAACTGAGCTGTCGCCACATCAGTCAAAGAAGATATATGAGCATGGAGAGGCTCTGAGGGGATAAACAATGAGATAAGCATCTAGGCCTTATCCATTTGGCTGAAAGAGAGAAATATGAGAGCTTTTGAGGGTATAGAATTGTCTTTTAATAGAATAAGGATACTTTGCTCCAGAAATTAGGGGTTTTGATAAAAGGTCAACCTCTTTATACTTCGAGGGAGTTAGGGGATCTAATTGATATTTAATCAGACTAATAAATATTTTTTGACACAGGTTGAACTTCATTGGTGCTTATTAATACTACACTTTCTCTCTAAAAAAAAAGGAGATTTAAGCTATGTCTGAAACAAATCGAGAAATCTTCTGAAATTCATTTGTCACTTTCTATTTAATTCAACTAGGAAGAGATGCAAATCCCATTAGAAAACAAATAAAAAAAAAAAAGAAGACCTCACATGGAATTCGACATGTTCTACCGAAATTGATGAAATTTGCATGCAACTTCTACTTTAGAATTTTATATGAGATCACTTTTATTTGTTGTACTAAAAATTTTCACAATCTTCTAGCTGAACACATGGAGTTGCAACTAAATTCCATAAAAATTCTTATATGTAGCATTGGCTAACTTTCAAAGTATCAATTCCTAACTTGCAATAGTGTTCAACATCCAAACAAGAGTAAATGAGACGTCAAAACTCCAGCTTGTATAGTTATGTTTTTCTTCTATTTTTCCTCCCTCATATGTTCTCCTACATCAATTGATATTAAGGCCCAACTTCTTGTTACTATTGATATTGGATTCAAAATCTCTTATAAATTGCCAACAATATAAGAGGATGTTAGTCTCACATGGACCAAGAATGAAATTTTTTTACTTGCTTATACCAATGGTGGGAAAATTACTAACAGATGTTAATTATATATCATTTCAGGTTAGGATCTAAAATATCTCTATTCTGTTTCCCAATTTTTCCTTGTTTGTGACTGCTTGCACATGTATAAACGTGTATGAAAGGGGATGTTAATCTCACATCACAGTGATGTCGGTACTTCCACTAGTAAGATTTTCATTTTCTTCTCCTTTCCATCAACCAAAAGTAAGCCAACATCTTCTTTCATTGCTGGGTAGGGGGGAAATAAATTTTTCCTCCAAACTCAACAAACAATACACATTCTTTCCTCTCCCATGTATTAGAACATATGCTTTATATGCTTAACTGGCTGAAAGTGCTAAAAGAATAACAAGAAACGAGACTTAAGATAGAGAATGATAATGGGAATGGCATCATAGTTTATATATAAACAAATTAGTTGTACGTAGAACTATATATAATAACTTATCTTTATACAGATCTTAGAAGAAAGAATACTGGCTCCATAAGGCAAAATCATTTCAACATTACAATGGGGGCAAGATTTTTTGAAATTTATGCAGATCACATTGTCTGAGGTCCATAAGTAATTATCTCTTTGAGGAATTTATGGTATTTTTTCCGTCAATTGCGACCATGGCAAACCCCCTTTCCTGTTGACATATGAGAAAGAATACCTACTATTGAAGAAAAGTTTTCTCTATATTAAAAGAAAACCTTTCTCTATTTTGTGGGAAGTGACTGAATCTGTTCAGCTGAGCTCCTTGCTTGGGATGGTATAGATTCTCCCAAGAGCAAGAAGAATATCATTGCCCTTACTCCTCATTTCACTTTTGCGACTATTCGGAGAAAAAGTAACTGAAGGAATTTTGAGGCTCATGTTTCTAGATTTTCTAAATTGGAGATCTATGGTTCCACACCTTAATATATTTATTTTAAACACATCCTCTCCTCAATGGAGAATATCTAGAGGACCTTCTTGATATTTTGGCTAATTCTCTTTTGTAATAGTTCTATCTTATATGTGGCTCGCAAGTGGCAGCCTAGGTGCCTTTCTTTATATTAGCCATTTTTCTTTTGGAAAAAAGATCTTTCTTTAGGTCCTCATCAATCTATTGGGAAAGAACAATAGAAGAAATCTACTTGATTTCAGTTCTTCCAAGTGAAATCATTTTTCTAGAGATGAATTAGAGTGCTTAATCTCAAAGGCCAATGTTTAAATAGCATGCTCATAGAATTTCCGACTTGCCCATGGAACTACCAACTTTTCATCTCATAGAATTTCATAATACAGAGTTCTAGGAAGAGCCATCCATGTATAAAAATTGACCACAATTTTTTAAAAAATTAGTAAAGTCTAAAAATTTGGTCCTGGTATGCACAAAAGCATGCATTTGCTGTAAAAGTTAATAAATGAAAGAAAATTTTCAACACTCTCAAACCTCTTCTATTCCTTTCCCCACCTCACCCAGAAAAAGTGAATGGAAATTTAATAAGATTAATTGCTTATGCTTACTGTAGACGTGCACATCCAACCACATCCACAATTCCCTTACCAATGGATTGATTAAGAGTCAAATTACCCTAAAAGATAACTCTTGTAATCAAGATATCGTGCATAGAATTTGTCTAGAAAAAGATATCGTGCATAACTACTAACTTTTCTTTCAATCGGTAGCACGTAAGCTGCAAATCCAGATTATTAGAAGTTCCATTCTTTTCATTTATCTCATGTTTTTTTCAGACGCAAGCACTCTTATAGGCTTCTAAAGCATCTTTTGAGTCTACTGGTTTAGAGTGTATTCAACAAACAAAATACCAACCACTTTATTAGACTGATACTAACATACCGCTGTTTAAAATAAGGAACAGTAAGGCATTTCCTGATGAACACAAGCTGATATACGAAACAAACAAATAAAATCCAGTTGATTATGTAGGTGGAATTAGCAACCATGAGAAGCAGTAGCTTGGATAGAGTCTCATAGAATGTTCCATTTGAATAATTTTTCGTGTTGAAGACATCCTTCAAACGATGGAGGTTAGGTATTAGCCAGGCAGAATTAAGAATTCCATCATTCATCAAGCGTCAAGAATCAAGATATACCAAGCATTTAATCCATCTAATGTAGGCAATACAATTATCAGAAGAAATTAAGAGAACTTACATGTATTACAAGCACAGGGCATTTCACCCGCTGGATTTTATTGATATTCTGCATTTATGAAGAAAACAAAATACCAACAAGACGATGTTGATGTCCAAACTTGAAGAATGAGATCGAAACAATTAACGATTAACATGTCTAATATAAATGTTGATGATAATAGTGGTGTACCGTATATATGTCGAAGCAAAATGAGAAATTGACGTGGCAGAGCACACGTAGACCAGAAAGGATGCCACTATGGAGAACTACCCCTCTCAGCCTGGGTAATTTGGAGGCCAAATGCAGTGTTGGACCACTTCCAACCGATTGACCATATAAAATTAGGTCTTCCTGGCTAATTCCGTATTCAGTCTGGAGACACTGGTAAACTGCCTCTATATCAGCATATGTGTCAAACTCGCTGGGCTGGAAGCACGAGGAAGCGAATAATCAGTTAAGCATAATTTAAGCTTTTCCAAATAAATATCATCATAGATTAGAGAGCAGAAAAAGATTGCAAGAACAGAATTCTTGAGCATATGGCATCATATAGATTAATTAACAACTATACCATCTCCTAGCAGCAAAAGCTTCTCAAATATTTTAGAAGTCCTATCATTATATAATACTTCCAAAATCCAGTTTTTCTCCTATGAAATCCGTCCCAAAGCAGAAACTAAACTTCCATGGCATATCTATCAAATAGCATCCAAATTCCAGATGCGTTATGTTAACAAGCATTCTCTCAACAAATTATTAGACCGTGTTATAACATATAGAATAGAAAAGAAGCAATACAAATGTATCGGACACCAAACAAGAAATACTCACACTACTTTTTGCTGAACAATAGACATAGAGAGCCAAGGAAGTAGCTATCTTTATATTTGTTATCGGTTTGAGATTAGAGGATGATAACATACCTTGCCGGTTGAGGCTCCATAGCCAGAGTAGTCATATCTACATCATATTGAGCAGAAGATCAAATACAATTCCAATTATGATAATAAATATCACCACAGCAAATTCAAGGCAAATGCTGCATCAAAATTGTACATCTGACTCATAACACCATACCACAATACTGGATCCAAGCTCCTCATAAACAGAGAAGCAGAGAACCACAAATCTGAGGAACCCAGAAAACCATATCTAATAATTCTACAGTCAATAAGCTAAAACATAAAGCGGAGAAAACGTATGACCTTCAATTTTCACTCCTTAGGTTTAAGGAGGACAGGGTTTTTCCAAATCTAGAAGAGACAGCAACCGGGATGACAAGATAAACCAGACCTCCAGAGAGTAGGAGAAGATTAAACACAGAAAAAATACACCTCATAAAGCTAGAGACAGAAAATTTTAATGGAAAAAAGGCATTGTTTCAATTTCCAATCTCATCCAGACGGGAAAAGTTACATGCTTTATGCAGAGAGAATAAGAAATATACAATAAAAAATAAAGAAGCTGGAAAAGAAAACAAGAAAACAAGAAGGATAAAGGTGGAAAAGGTCTGCTAAGTGGTGGCGACACACCTACCAACCCAAAAGAAATAAATAAACAAAAAATAAAAAGAAAAAACACTGTTTAACCAGCAAACTTTACCATCTCTTGTAAAAACCAGGAAAAAATAGCATTGAAAAACCATCATCTAAGGTTATTCTTTTTCGGTAAAGATTATCTCTGGTTATTCAATAGGAACATAAACTCAACCAAATCCAACACTAATTACAGATCTGAAAGCCAAATAAACCTGGAAGCAAGTGAGGAAATGCAAGAGACAAAGAGTAAAAGAAATCAAATCAAATACATGACAAGGTAAAAGATTTACAATTTCAAACAAAAAAGGACAAACATGTTATAACTAGCACAGAACAGACTACAAATCCCACTATACAAGGGAAAGAACCCACTCAAACAACCAACTTTGTAAATATCGACAACAAATCAAAAAAAAAAAAAGAAACAAATCCGTAAGGTAATTAGCTAGATTATGTCCCTTCACAACAACAAAAAATGTACAGAGGATAAGCTTTTGGCCATTTTCAAAAATACAAAAATGACCAGAAAAATAAAAGCACTGACCCCATTAGATTAACCCTGAGATTGACCTTGAGCTGCACGAAGAGATCATAGAGCTGGCCCAAGTCGGCAGCATTGCCATGGGAGTAAAGCAGAGTGAGACGAGCATATGGATTTTTAAGATAAAAAGCTACAATCTTGTTTCCACGCTTGGTATCAACCAACAGGACATCCAAAGAGTTGTCATCTGCAACATGAATAGGCAATGATGAAGAAGTAGAAACCACTGTGAGCTTTCCGTTGTCACTTTTCTTGATCTGATACGTCGGTGGAGAAGGAGGAAAAAACGCAAACTTTGCAGCTAATTGAGACAGTGTACACCCCATTCACCCCCCAAACAAGATTTACGAGAACCCAACTCATTGAACAACGGGAAAACAAGAGAAGAACATGCGTGAGGAGAGCAAAGGAAGATTAAAAAAAGTGTTATTACGGGTAACGTGAATTGTATATTTTTCTTTTTTTCGAAATGGGTATTTAGATTCACGAGAGAGGACTGAGCTTTGTGATTTTGTTTTGGAGTGAAAGAGAGGTTTGTGGGTTTTATCAGGAAAAGAGTTTCATTGGGTTGTGTTTGTCTGGCTATATTTGTGCAAGGCTGATGTGAATTTTTTGTTGTATATTTAAAATATTTATAAGCATATATATAAAAACAGCAGAGATGAAGAGGGGAAAGAAAAGATTTTGCAGTAATGGGATTAGAGGAGGGGGGAAAACGAAGGGAGTGAATGAAGAGAAAAGGGAGTGTCTTTATCATATAGAGTTCTTAAAAGGAGAATCGCCATAACTCCAAGAACTGAGTTTCAAATGTGCATGACTTCATTGCTTGTCAGCTCTTCAGACTCTCTCTCCTTCTCTCTCTCTCCTCTCCACTATATCTATCTGCAAGTCACTCTGCTACAAGACAAATTTCCTTTTGGCCATTATTTTATTATTAGCTTCCTAACTTTTTATTTTATGCTCAGTCTCTTTCATCTTCTACGCAAATACTCTATACTCACCAGCTTTTAATGACACATGTACCTGTTTTTTTCTTTTGTATTTCATTTATCAAGCCTGATACTTGAAGAAAAAGACTGAAAATTTATTTAAAAAATCAAAATATCATCACCCAAAAATAAGTTTTAACCTATGAAATCTGAAATTTCGAATTAGAAAATACTTCTTTTTTCACAAAAGAAGAAATAATTGGAGGAGAAGTAGCACAGTATTTACATCAAGTACGAGCAGCAGCACTCCAGTCTCATTCAGGAGGAGTCAATGCAAAAAAGTATCATCATGGTGATCTTTCTTAATGGTAATCTCTGCTCAACGCCCTTGTTTGGCTAACCAGTCCTTTGAAGTAAAATTCATTTTCAACAAATTTGTTTAGCAAGTTCCTTTAATCCTATTCCGGATCAGAATAAAAAATACCTCTTCCAACCACCTTACAACGCCATCTCAACCATTTAGTCTCACACGAGAGACCACATTGAAGATTGTGCTGTCCACATTGAAGACCACATTTAATCCTTTTTTTGTTGACATATCTTTTTAATGAAAAATAATTAATAAAATAAATAATAAATTTATAAAATATAATTATTCATCACATTCTTAGAATTGTGATTAATAAAATAAAAATAACAATTTAATTTTTTATCCAAATTATCTTATGAATTTTTTTTTTTTTTTTCACAAAATGTCTTACTATAATCAATTAAAATTATTAAAAATATATTTGAGTGAAATTTTAGTATATCTTAATCTTATATAAATAAAAATATAATTCTTATCAAAATAAAAATCGTAAGTCTTTATGTAAATGTTCAATTGAAGGAAAATTTCCAAGCTAAAATTTTCTATCTTGTTATGTAATATCTCTTTGTCTTTCAATTTCCTCTGTTTGCATGTTGCCAGAGGAATAATGACGCATTGTGTCTTGTGTTGTTTATGGATTGATTCTTCGAGATACCACCTCAGTTGCTGAGATGTCAATAATTTTTTTATTTTATAATTTTATAAATTTTTTAATTATTTGTCTAAATTTTAAATAGACAAATTACAATAAATATATATATAATATTTATTATCATTTTAAATAATAGATATAATTTTTTAGTTCATTATTTATTAAATAATAAATAATAAATAATTTAAATAAGACTGAAACTATAATAAAAAATAAACATTAAATTTATTTAACAAAATGTTATCAATATATAAGTGATTTTGCATTTAAAGTAAGTGTTAATTGGAAAAATAAGTATTTTTATTTGATTAATTAATAAAACATGTATACATTTATTTATTAGGAATATCTCATTGTTAAAATACATTGTTGATTTTAAAAGATATCAAAATAAATTAGCTAAAATTGAAAATAAAAAGTATTTTAAAACATTAAGAATAAATATTTCTAAAAATATTTTTAAAACTATTTTATTTTTTATTTTTTATTTTTTTAAAAAAAAAACATCTTATACCTTCTTATTTTTGGCTAAAGAATAAAGTATTTTAAGAATACTTATAAACCCGCAAAACACATAATTAGGAAGAACCCTCTAATTTGTGACTTTACTTTATATATGCTACCAATAGAATACGGCCATATTTAAAGAGTGGATTTGTGATTGTCGTAATATTAAGATATACATACATACATATATACATATATATATATATATATGTACATACATGTGGCTTGCTTTCAAAGATGTCATTGATGGCACTTATTGACTTTATACTACTCCATTATATAGTAGCCTACTAGACACAATCATATTGTAAGATGAGCTTTAATGCTAATTGAAGTCAAACAGTGCATGACTACATCAAATCAACTTAACTATTTGCTTTAAAAAGGATTATGCATCATTAATTGTTTTCACTCATCATTAATTTGCTAATTAATTACATAATTTAATTACCACCGCATGACGTGACATATCAAAATGATATTTCATTCTTATTTTCTTAATTTTCAACATAAATATATATATATATTTATATAGACTTAAATAAAAATAAAAACGATTTTCATAAAATATTATAAATAAATTATATATGTATTTTCAATTCATATCACATTGTTTATAAACATTATTTTTATTTTCAACTATCACATGCTTTGAATGTATATAAATACAAAATAAAATAAGATTAAGACAAATATATATATATATATATATATATATATATATATATATATATCAAACATAACTTTTATACACTGGAGAGGTCAAAAACTAAATTTGAAATCATCAAATCAAACAGTAAAAATTTCTTTTGTAAACAAAAGGTTGGGGGGGTATAGGCTACTGTGGTTGTTATTTATTTATAATTCCCACATTTTAATTATACGATATGTAGAAATAAATTGTGTTTAATTAGCTTCTCTTATATTATTAATTTTATAATATAAAATTTTTATTTTTATTTTTTAAAAATAAATTATAAAAATTTATTTGTAAATATATATTTATTTTTTAATTATAAGAAATACAAGATCTTATAAGAAAATTTATATAAAGTCAATTTTTATTATTCTAAGTAAGAGATTCATTATTTTTCAAATTTGAGTTAACATATACTTGCCTTCCCATGCTCTCTTTTAATTTTTTTTTTTTTTTTTTCTGAATTTTCATAATTTATCATATTTTTCTAATTTATTTTTCACACTACAAACAAACATGGTCTTGGCCCACCACTACTGAATAGATAAAGAGTTTTCCACTTTTGATTCTTTGTTTACTACAACTTCTACTTGGTTAGGCCACAACTAAAAGTCCAAACATTTAAGACAACGTTTGGAAGAAATGAATTGTGTTTTATAAAATTCATATAAAAAAATTTAATTTAATTTTTTTTATCAAATAAATGGGTCCTTTGTTTTTTGAAAAATAAAATTGTCTACATAATAAATTAAATTGAAAAAATAAAAATAAATTTTAAGAAGAAAAACAAAATTGGGCCCATAGGAAATCCTACCCACCACCATATTCAAAACGACAAGTCGTTTTATCCCGACAGCAATCAACACTTGTTTCCCAGGGGATCAGCAGATAGCGGTGGCGCGTCGGCCTCAGACTCCACTAGTCACGTGAGGGAGCTACTGTTGGTTCTCTGTTTTGGTTTCAAAATTTTCATCCTCTTTTGATTTGTTTTTTTGACTCCTTACAAATTCTCAGTCATTATCCCTGTGGGATCCATCAACAACTCATTGATGGGGATTTATAGTTTGCAAAAATCAGTTTTTATAATTTTAAAAACACATGAAAAACTAAATTAAAATTTTAAATTTGATATTAAAATGCTATATATTCATATTATGTGAAGTTAATAGAAAGAAGGAGGGTAAAATTATATGATTAAGTGTTAATTAATTTATGGTTAGAGGATGTAGAAAATGTGAGGGTAGAACGCTTGAAGCCTGCCTAACTTTGTTATTTACAACGTGATTGCTGTTGCTCAATGTGGGAATCCTGAATTCTCACCTCCAATAGTAAATAAATAAAATAATATGTTTATGGTGAATGAGAACGTGATATGATTGATTCCATGCCCTCATTAATCAAATATCTAAGTGCATGGATCCTGCATTTTATAATATTGGGCTGTACTTGTACTAAATTTCATATATGTGTATATATATATATATATATAATATTAATACATGAAAGACAAGAAACCAGAGAGAGAGAGAGAGAGAGAGAGAGAGAGAGAGATTGGCTTTACCCTAAAAAAGAGAATAATAATAATAATAATAATAACAATAAGTTATAGTTTTTGGGCATTGGCAACCAAAGATGCAAAGAAAAAACATGAAAGTTGCAGAATTTAAATATGCATGTAGAATAAGATCCCATAATATCTTTCTATATTTTTCTTTTTCCTCTTTAGCTAGAGATCTAATAAGTATTATCAATCAATGAAGGAACAAAATATTCAACTATAAAATCCTATTGGGATTCTTTGACAAGGGAAAGAAATGGAAATAAATGTTTCTTAATCTTATTCAAGCTTGCAAAATATACTTGGTATATCCAAAATAGATGTTGTATATATAATCTACAAAGATCTTCATTAGAATTCACAAGAAAATAATAAGAAATACCTTTTTATTCATATGAGATGTTTTAACGAATTTTAACTTATCTTATTTACATCATCTAATTAAGTAACTATATTTATTATCAATAGATTTTTATATTATAATTCATATATTAAGTAAATTTAGTCACTCTGACAAATAATAATAAAATTTTTATTAATAGTTTGTGATCTATTTGTATTTTATGGTAATTTTATCTTACATTATATCAATTAGTTAAATTAAATATTTAAATTATTCTATTTTGTTATTGTTTGATTATGTGTTGATATTCAAAGTTTGAAGATATAATAAAAGATTACTAAAGAATTAAAAAGTAAAAAACTTGTTTTCTCTCAAATCTTTATTTAAACAACTTATTTTGTAGTGGTCATTTTTATTAAAACTCATCGTTATTCTTTAGGTAAACTAATGCAATAATAAATGATATAAAATTCTCATAAAATAATTTTAAAAAGTATATAAAAATTAAAGAACATTAGGTCTTAAGCATAAATATTAAAGACAATCAACTTATTTTATAAGAAAAATAAAGAATATTATTTAAACTCTAATTACATTATCCACAAACCAACAAGGAGAACTTCTCCACTGAATAATATACCTTCCTTCTTAAGCCCCCTCCCTTAAATGACATAAAAGAAAATATATAAGGGAATGAGGAACAACAAACATGAAGTTACAAATATCCATCCATGTTTCTTTAAAATCCACAATTAGATTGATTGGCACAAGGATGGCAATGAGACTTAGTTCCTTAAAGATGAGTACAGCGGTGAATTACTTGTTAACTTGTCTAAATTTATAATTTACAAATTACATGAGAAGTGCATGTAAGAAACTACAAACCGACAAAAGATAAAAGCCAAACAAAACTTAAAAATTCATTAAAATTAAACAAATTTAATTTTGAGACTTCTTTAATTAGATTAGATTTAATATAATTTGTAATAAGCCTCATTGAAAAGAAAATATGAGTAATATTTTCAAAAAAAAAAAAAAAATTGAGAGTTGCCTTTGTGTGCCACCTATCCCAACTATTTGATGTCCTTTTTTTTTTTTTGGATTATTTGGTTAAGGGTTATAGTACTATTTTATTTTGAATACATAAAGTTACTTTTTATTTTTTTTTATAGTTATTCAATTTGATTCTCTAATGTTTTTGTATTGTGTAGATATTTTATTTTCGAGTCAAATAGGAAGAATCAAGGAACGACGTTAAAGGCAAAATATTTGGAGATCAAAAAAGAAAAAGAGAAATAGATAGTAGAGAAAACAATAAGAATTATTTATTAAAATTAAAAAAATAAATTAATGATTAACAGGACAATTCACTAAGAATGATTTAAGAAAACATATTATATTTAATTTCAAGCTTTATTTTAAATTGTGATTAAAAAGTTTAGATTTTTTATATATTTTGAAAAACCAAACATGTTTCGGTAAATTACATTATAATTAAAATAAATATAAGATTTTTATTAAATTTATTACAAAAATTTACCCTAAATTCTAGCAAGAGATGAAGTTTCTTGTAACAAAAATTATGTAAATTTTGAAATAAATTTTACAAAAATTGTTTATTTCTTTCATAACTCACCTTTTAGTTATGTCTTAATATATTCAAAAAATTAATACTAAGAATAACTAAAAATGACATGAGACTGAATCAATCAGGTCATCGAGTCATTTACCGTATATATGCTACGATATTTCATGGTATTCATCTTCTAAAACCAACCCTTCTAATTTCTAAATGTCATTGGACACACTTAAGAGTATTCCTTATTATCCAATTCATAAAATCATCTACAGTTTTTCTATCAATCAATATTTTCATAACAACTTTCATACACTACAACTAAATCTCAGATAATTAATAATAATACTTCTCAAATTAGCCTGGTATATTCAAAAGATTACTCAAATTATTGTTAGCTATAAGAGTGGAACCATGTATAATGTTAGTTTGTATAGTCCTCAATAGTCGATCAACTAGCAAACATAAAGATTTACAGAGAACAGTGCTTAAAGCTATTAATGTGTCCATTGCTAAAACCATTCGATGGGAATGCACAAATGGGTGACTACTTTCCATGCCCTTTGTGAAACGTAAATGAGAAAACAAATAAAACGTTCCAACAGAGTTATCTTCAACTGACCAACAAATTGTGTTTCATAACCACAAGGACTAAAATAGAAAAAGTATTTCCAAATATACTGCACTGATTCGGAGAGAGAGCATCTAAAAAAATTTGGAGAGAGTAAATGGAACAAGTCTTCCCGAAATAAAGTGCATTCTATAACTCGGGGAACAAGAGTTTCAACTTTCAACAAATGAAATCTGTACCATTGCTTGATTACTTGCTAAAAATGCTTGTTTGTGCAGCAGCATTCCTAATCTTATCCACTGAGTATAAATTTATTGCAAGCAATCTATAGATAGAGCAGAGGAGAATAACAATTGACAAATTAGCTAAGACATCTAAAACTTAACCAAAAATATACATGTAATTGCCCATGAATGACTGGCTCCGATTCTTCCTAGGAATAATATATGTACAGCACCGACCTGATATGAACTACTGGCAAGTCGTAAATTTCTGGCTTGTTCGACTCCCATGCAATGGCATTCACCAAGAAGAGAAAACCCAGGTGACGGCAATCTCTCATGTTGGACATCAGTGGCTGATGATAAACAGGAGATCCCATGCCAGTACTGGGAACCATCTACCTAGGTTGTTTAGGTTGCTACAGGATTACAGGAAAAAGAAAGCCAACCTGCAATTGATCAAAATATATCAACTTAAACATATAATAAAATACAGTTTTGCGGATTCCATGCTCTTCTAGACTGACTTCTGCACAATTTATTTCAGAGCTGAATCACAAATCTAATATGCAGTATGCTTAAGTTTGGATATTCACGTAACTTTGGCTAGCAAGTTTCCAGCTGAAAGTTGCAACCTGAAAAGGACAAAACCCTGATCTTTTTCCCAGATATGAAAGAAAAAGAAGACTCTTGTAAAATATATAGGGTTTCTTACAGTACTATGCAAAATAGAATTAAGAATATGCCCAAGTGTCCCTCTCCTGAAATCATCAAATCAATTGTGTTACTTCCCTACATTTTCATTGCCACCAACCAGTTTTTCCATGTGTCAACATCAGCAAATATTTGCTCAACTAGGCAGTGGTTAATAACTCGTGTAAGTTGCATGTATTTGAGATGCCAGAATCAAGAGCAACTTTCATATTATTAAACATAACAATAGAGACAACCACACTGCTTAATGTTGAAACTATCCTTTTTGCATGCAACTGGATTATTTTTATCACATAGCTCTTTGCAGAGAGTTTTTGAATTGGGCATCATAAACGCAAAAATTACTGATTCTAAACTATTTCAGCAAGCAATAAAACTAAAGTACCTACACCAGATATGGAGAGAGGCACAAACAAATTACTAAGACCATGGTTGTGACAAAGCAATGCTTGGTGATGATGCCTCAAGTCCCTTTTTTCTGTGTATGGCAGATTTGAGCAACTTGTACTGTTCTGTTACAGAGTTATATAAGGATTGCGTGTATGCTTCCTTTGCCTGCTACAACGAATAGCCACAATCAAAATGGATAATACATGCTTTGAATTAGAAAACAGGAAAAAATCCAGAAACTATCATCTATAATAACTGGCATAGATCCCCTAACTTTCACGGCTGCCAAGCTTAACTTCAAAGAGCAAAAAAGGTGTCACCATAAAAAAGGGGCATAAAAGGTGTGCTCTTACAATGTGCATAAATAAGCACAAATGTCTCATGCAAATATTCATATCTCTCCTGTTTTTTTAATGGAAAATAATGAATACAGTTCTAAAAGATGCCAATACCCATAATATCTGGACCTAGATGAATAAATGTGCATATATAAGCACAGATGTGCCTCATGCAAATATTCATATATCTCCTGTTTTTTCAATGGACAATAATGAATACAGTTCTAAAAGATGCCAATACCATAATATTTGAATCGAGACGAATAAATGTGCACATATCCTGCTCATAAGTACGATGTCATCAATGCCTACATACCTGAATGATTCACAGAACATTCAACAGGCCCTACAGGTGATTTATATCTATGCTTCTCAGTCAGCACTAGAGTCTACATTCCATAACATATGTGAATCTGATAATCCTACAATTCCTGCCAGAATATCCTGAATATTCTAGTTTCCATAGTGTACATATCTTAACAATAAACAGTAAGTCCCCCAATTATCTCATGTTTAATTTTTGTAGCCATCTATAACTAGGTTTCCAAAGTGTGGAGAACTTTTATATATGCTTTAAACATCCATAACAATGATATACAAAAAGATTATTCTTCTGCTCTGGTTTCATTCTCTACTCAACATGGCATTAGTGTAATTGGCCATTACTGCAACCTCTCAGACCTGCTTGCCCAAAACAGCATCCCCAGGGTTTCACACTATTGCAGTCCTCCAGACGTTACATGCTTCCTATTCCCCTCAAGTGCAGTTGCCGGCAACTAACAATCATGGAAAACCTGTATGGACTAGACCAAAGAAGAGTGTTGGCATGCCCGCTGGCACCATCTCTCCTAAGAGGCTCGAGTGCTTTCAGGTTCTAGTGGTGGACAGACAGCACCAACTCATCAATGGCAGCATAAAGGAAGAGTGTGGAAAGAGAATGCTGACACTTTGTTGGAAGCCAAAAGATGACAGCACGTCATGCATTCAGACACTAATCTTGGACAGAGAACATAAATTCCTCACTTGCATCCAGAAGGGGATTGTGGGTGCTAATATTCTACCTCCTTGCAGTGTTGTGGGAGTCATCTTCTTCAGTACACAGAGGCAGTTGGTACAGTTGGGGGGTCACCATTTTGCCTTCTTGTTTGATCTATAAGCAGAGAAACATTGTTAAAGATAAGGTGGCAAAGGGAGAAGTCAAGGTTGGTAGGTTCATTGCGCTGGAAAAAAAACCCTTCATTACAGATAAGCCTACTGAAGCTTGATGAACCAATTATCTAGCAGATCGGGGTCTTGCTTACTATTTATTCAAGCCTGTGGTCTACAAGGGTACATTACAGGGAATAAAACTAGCCAGTTGAAAAAATCCTATGATTATCCGGTGGAAATCTGATAATTCACTTATATATAATCAATTCGTGCAGCCACAAGTTTCTTGGGAGATAATTGCTTCTAGAAGCTACCACAAAATCCGGAGTGTTGCATCCCAGACACAATCCGAGATTGACAATGATGTGTAGATATGACCTGTACAATAGGTGCAAGCAACTAAAAGTTGAGATGATTGTTGCCCCACATTTTGCTGAACTAAGTGGCTTATGGCTGAACTCGACTCTTATCAAGATTTCCAAGCAGCCAATTCAATCAGGCCTTCGAATTGAAAAAACCACGAGAAGCAATGGGTCTATGATTTTCTTGTTGGTCTGAATATGAAATGTGACCAGATCCGGGTCTAAGTGCTCAGTACAGACCAATTACCATCTCTAAGACACACCTTATCATATATTCAATAGTGGACAGTCACCTAAGTGTTATGACCAATCCAATTAAGACTATGATCTCGTACCATGTACAATCAATCATGAATGGGACTTGCAACAACTTTGAAGTGAAAATGTTTTCTTTGCATACAGGTTTAGAAGAAGTCAATATTGAGATTACCCTAGATTTGTTCTCAAGAAAAGAGTATGCAAATTGAAGAATGCATAAACTAAGACAATCTTCCAGGAGCATGGTTTTGCCAGATTTAGTAACAGTATGCTTTGTTTTG